GTTCTAGAAATAGAGATACCGTTAAGGGTGAGAGTGATAACTCTATGGGAAACCATATAGTAAATCCAGTTGCATAAGGTGGTGGGAATTCCCGAGTTGTTGAGGTTATGGTAGATGGCGTCATAAGAGATGTTGTCGAAGGCTCCTTCAATGTCCAAAAAGAGTCCTAGGGCTTGATTTCCAGCTGAGAGGGAAAATTCAATTTTGTTGGTAATCTTGTGAAGGGCGGAGTCGGTAGAGAAGTTTCTCTTGAAACCATGTTGGTTGTCTGTAGTGAGGTTGGAGAGTCCAATGTCGGCTTCAATGTACCAGATGATCAGTTTCTCCATAATCTTCTGTAGAGTCGAAGTAAGGCTGATGATACGAAATGCTCGCACATTTGTATAGTCGTCTTTAAGAGGTTTGGCGATGACCACACCATTAGCCTCATTCCAGTCGTCAGGTGTGATACCCAAACGGAGGGAGTGTTTATAAAGGTGAAGAATACAAGGTGAGATAGAATCCCAGCATGCGTTAATCATATTGAGTCGAATGTTGTCTGGTCCCGGAGATTTGTTCGGAGCCATGTCCATGCAGACTTTCTTCAGTCTGTTAGGCGTGATCAGAGAGTTGATGATGTTGTCATGATCTGGGCCTGGGTCAATAGGAGTGTGTGCTATCGGGTTGTCAATGGGGAGGAGAGCTTCAGCTAGCGTATCTAGGGTTTCTCTTGGAGATGATGTGAAGCTGCCGTTCGGTTTTTTAAGGGATCCTAGTTGTCCGGGATTAGTGTTCAATGATTTCATGACTTTATGGAGTCTAGCTGCTGAGGGTATGCTAGAGATTTTGTTCACGAAGTTTTTCCAGCTAGATCTTTTAGCTGTCCTGATGATGTTTTTGTAGTCTTTAAGTCCGGTTCTGTAGAGGTTCCAGAAGTGATCTGTTTTGTGTTTTCTGGCTTTCTGGTGCATGATTCTGACTAGCCTGCGCTTTGATGTGAGTTCAAGGTTCCACCATGGAACTGATGATCTGATGGAGGAGAACTTGATCGGGCAGGCTATGTTGAAGGCTTGGATGAGTGTGTTAGAGATATAAGAGTTAAGCTTATTGAGATGGGGTAAGTCGCACGTGGGAGAATATCTGAAAGGAGAGTCAGAGATAGATTGCGTAACTAGATCGTTGAAAAGCTTCCAGTCGCAATCCTTGGGGGATCTGTAGGGAAGTTTAGTCGGAGGGGCAAGATTAATGGTGTAGGATAATCTGGCGTGGTCAGAAACTGTCGAGCAAAAGGAGCTGGACCAGTCATCTAGGAGGTGGAGTCCGTAGTCATTAGTAATCGTGAGATCAATGATAGAGCTTCCTAATTTAGAAAGGTAAGTAGGATTTGATCCCTTGTTGATGATATGAAGAGAGTTGGCAGCAATAGTGTCCCTCCCCAAAGTGTGTTCCTGGCGTTCGTGTCGCTACCCATGACTAGAGGGATTTTGTTGAGGTTACAATGAGTAATGAGGTCTAATAACAACGGGTTGTTAATAGGGAGAGTGATGTCTATTGTCTAGGTATGCTGAGCAGAGGATGAATGATTCTGTGTCAAGAGTAATTCTGATTGTGGTAATATCAGGTGAGCTGAAGTGTCCCAGTCTCATGCTAAGTGTATGAAGTCCTTGAGGGACAATGATCGCTGATCTAGCTCGTCCGGTGGACGAGATGAACGGTTTGTGTGAGCTAGGGATGTTAGGTATGCGCTGTTTTTTGCTGACATATGGTTCTGTTAATAAGAGAATAGTGGATGGTTTGAGGTCTTTGAGTATGCTGGCTGTAGCTGTGGTCATTTTGCGAAGGTTAGCTTGAATGATAGGTGTGGCTGGGAGTTTAGAATTTGAAACATTAGTGTTGACAGTCATATTTAAATCGAAAGAGAGAAACAAGGTCTTGTAAAGAAGATTTCAAGAGAAAACGTAAAACTGAGGTTAGCGTTAAGCTGAAGTTATGTCCTCGGGTGATGAGGAGGGCGAGTCTTTAGCGTAACTGTTGTTACGGCTCCTTTGAATCTTTCTTGTAGGCGAGTGATCGTTAGGGCTGCTCCGGGGTGTGGGAGTTTTTTCCCCTTTGTCCTTTGTTGGGGTGTTAAGTGGAGTAATTAACTCGATCAGGTTAATCTCAGTCTCAGTGAGGGTGGTGTTCTCAGCGTCTTCACCACTGAGCAGTCTTTCCTCTGTATCTGTAACGGATCTGATGTCCAGACCGGCCATCAACTCCGCTGGAGACTCAGAGGAGGCAATCACCGCTGGGGAGATCTTCTTTAAGTCCCACGGGTCGTTTTTGTCTCTGGTCTGTGGCGTGATACTGTTGAGTGAGGCTATCATCTGAGCCTTGATAGCATAGAGGTCTTCGTCGGGTCTGTATATACCTGTCAATCCAGGGATGCCTGGAGCTCTCCACGTAACAGTGGACCCTCCGATCCTTGAGGTCCAGTTGTGGGTTCTAAGCCAACTGAAGGCGTTCTCGTCTAATTCCAAGTAAACTTGGAGCATGGAGTTATCTGAAGAAAGCTTACCAGGTCTGAAAATCGATACTTGTTTGCGGTTAACTTCTCCACATGATCCTGCTGCGAAGGCTAGATGTATCTTGTCTATGAGGTTTCTGTGGGCCAGGTATATCTTGCCCATAATTTTGTGTCCAGGAGGTCGTTCTCCTGGTTTGAAGCATTTGAATCCCGAGTGGTCGTCAGGAAGGTTCTTTTTCTGTGTTTCGATGGCTTTCTGGTAGAAGCTGAGGGCTGTTAGGTTATTACAAGAAAGGGCGTAACCCCTCCCGTGTCTGTCTCGTTTAGCACTTTTAATATCATGCGGGTTTGTGTCTAAAGATTCTAGGAGATCTACCTCCGCTATAGCGATCTCTGCATGGATATGGAATACGTCTTCTCTAGTCAGTATTCTACAGTCTGTCCTAGTAACTAGGAGAGTCAAGTCGGGGTCTGCGGTGTAAACACCTGAGCTGGGCGCCCCGTTAGGGACAGCCTTGGATGTCCCGGGCTCCTCTACTAAGTCGGCGACTCCACTAGTGGATGCCGACTCACCAGAGGGCCTGGAACTGGTCTGTATGAGTCTGCGTGTTGCAGAGTTGTAAGGGTCGAATCTATTAACTGCATTCTTAATACGAGGCTTACCAGAGTTATCGGTATTTGACTGATTTCTTCTTCTGTTGTTCCTTTCTCTGTTTTTGAGTCTGTTGAGTTCCTTGTCTATCCTGTCTGACTCCATCTCAGCTGAAGTCAGCGCCTTTCCTCCCACCATCGTCTTGAATTCCTCTTCCTTCTTCTCCCCCCTCTCTCCAGCCATCATCTCTTCTTTATCGTTCATAATGCTATATAGCTGTGAAGTATAAAGTTGGTTAATGCGTTGGCTTTACATTAGCAGAATGCGAGTTCGAGACCTGGAAAGTATAATTTTTCGCCCACTTTTTTTGGCAATCATGAATAACTAATGAATAACTAAACCTCTGTAATATAACTAGCAAAGTGAAATGAAATCGTTATCCGGCCGAAAAATTTATAGCCGTTTTAAAAATTTATTATAGCCGTTTTTTCTTTCCAGGCTGGATTCCTAGCCACTTTTTAAATTTATGCCACTGGGCCTCCAGGGATCATTATTTCAATAAAGCACCGCTATCATCTAATTCGATTGGAGAAGCAAGAAATAGACAGACAAACTCGATCTTAACCTCAATGATTACTTTGTGCAAGGGTAAAAATAATGATAATAATTAACTTGCAATAGTGTGAAAAATGAACATGTATGCAACAATAAAAATGCAAATTCAACAAATCTTGGGATTTATATCTAAAAATAAAGTTGCAACGAATTATTCATTATAATTTTTAGGCTGCAGGCTTGGCTACTCCGTACTTATAGAATAATCCATAACCTTCTTATCTAGAATATTCTTAAATATCTATTTTATTTTTAGGTCAGGAACGGTCATCAAAATGAGTTTATAATAAGGTCGATTATATTTTGGTAAATTTCTAGCTTCCTTTCAGAAAATAAATCTTGGTTTCTATGGGTAGGTAGTTACATGTACACTTACACTCACATTCCAAATTCTCAGATTCATATAAAAAGCATGCGAGCTCACCTGGTCCAATGAGTAGGAAACAGAGAACAAGCTCTGGTGTCGTTATAGTCACGTGACCTCAGAAAGTAGAATTACTTCTAATCAGGACAAACATATTATGCAGAAAGTTCATTATTATTATCATCATTCATCAGATGGCAAGTTGATAATGCATTGACAGACTTGCCTTTTAATAGTATCGATATTTTATAAAAAAACAAAAGAGGGTGAATCTTGGAAAATGGATAACTTGTCAAGCTGGATCTTGATCCCTCAACAGATTAAAATTGAGTCACTTCAGCCACATTAAGTTTTTCCCCTCCAAATTTGCCGCACATAAAAAAGTTTTAGTATTTAGGCAGGTACTATTTGCAAAATATTACCGCACCTACATGTTCCCTCCGGAATGGAATGAAGTTTGTTTTCCCTTCCAAAAAAAAGGATTAACTCAACAGTAGTTAGTAACCGTTCACAAATGAAACCGGCTATGCAATTGATCGCTTGTTTTTTGCATTTATTCATTGCCTTAATAAAATATGAAAGGAATGCGCGAAGATGAGATGGTGCAAAATTTGAGTTATCAAACTCAATTCTAACGTGGTTCTTTTAGGAAACCCAAATATGGCGATTTTTAGGATTTTCACCAAATTTTTTATAACAGTGCTGTCGCGTCTGAATACTGTGACGTTGAAATGATCAAAACTAATCTAATGCATAATTAGACCATGGTTCAGTTCAAAACAGTTCATGCCTCTTCACATAACAACATCATCCTCATTCCTCATACTGTTATCAAAGTACCGAACTTTTATCAGGTTGCTCTATTTCAATGTCACATTTTAAAAACTGTCAATATGAATGACAACAAGAATACCTACGAGAACTGATCACGTGTTTTTTTTCAGATGTGACGGTAAAACGAACCAGATGTCGGTGGAGAAGTACGATCCAAAAGAGGACGGCTGGACTGAAGTAGCAATCATGAAGTCTCGATGTAGCAGTCTAGGAGTAGCTACACTCGGTTAATGAAGATAGGGGTGAAGAAAGATAAGAATACGAGATTGTGCTGGCAGGGCCCACAAGTCAGACCTAAGGAATATCTTACATTGGAGTATGAAAGAGGTCATCACCAGTCACGATATATCCCGGAAATTCCCGGAAATGGCGGTGATCTCCTGCTCCGTTCTACACTCACTACACAGAAACAAATTTCGGATTTTGTTCCGTGTTGGTGTTGTGAGGATTTTGACGAGTTGGTGCCCCCGTATGGTGCCCCCACCAAGTCCCACCTGGGCCAGCTTCTTGAAGTAGCTTTAGAGCTTTAGAGTTGAAATGAGAGTTTAGCTCTAGTAATGTTGGAAGTGTTGATTCACTGTTATGTTCCGACTGTAGAAGATCGAAGTTATAATAATATTTATGAGGTGATCGATTTGTGATTTTCATTGTCAGACTGTACTTTTTGAAGAAAGTCTTTTAAATGGGTTTTTTCATTAAAACAGGATGTATATCACTACCGATTTATTTCTCATTTTATCTAATACTATAAAATTTTTAAGGTAAACCGTAGAACAGGGTAGAATATATATATAACTATCGCATAATATGTTATAAGATTATATTTATTTCGGATTGTCATTTCATATCCCGATATTATTTCCCATGTCCCCCATATTTGATCAGATGATATTTTGGGATCCAACACCCCAGTATTGCAATGGTTGCATGGTTAATGGTTAATGGTTTGTGTATGGTATGTAACTTAACTGAAATTCTTTGCGAGTTCATTTGTAGAATAGCTGTGTTTTATTGACTTTCTATATCGAACCGTTTTTTTTAACGATTGAAAGTTGCAGAAAACGTAATTTAAGCTACATCCGAAATATAAAGTGCATTATTTTATGGGTCACATTCCAATTTTAGATCAAGCACGTAAAGCCTCATAATATATTGTGTTTAATTCAGCATATGTCGAAATGTCAGACGAAACAAATACAGAAAAACTAGAAACAAATGCTCAACAAAAAGGGAATATTATCGATAAAAAAGAAGCTAGCAATGGACAAACAGAAATCAGCGCTGGAGAAAGCAGTACTGAAAAACTAACGACTTCAAGCCCTGATCCACAAACTGTGCAGAAGATTGTAGCCGCTGACAACGTTTTCAGGATTCCCCAAATTCCGCTTCAGAGAATAAGAGCAGAAAGACCAGTTGAGCATATTCATTTTGACAAGAAATGGGCTGCTAAAAAAGGTCAGCTCCACGTTAGCCATCGATAAGTCAAAAATTATACTTATTTTAGCCATTGAAATCGTTCGCTTTTTCATTCTGCTCACTGTTAAAAATTGTATAATTCGTCATTTGTTTTTAGATCTTATTTTTCGCAGGTTATAAATAGGAATGTTTCCATAATTTTTAACAGCATTTTGAAAATTCGGAAGATTAAGCTTACTCAATGGGCGTTGATAAACCACAACTTGATCAAACAATGAAAACAATATGATTCCGACGTTAGTAAACTAACGACAATTCATTGCAGGTAGTGGTGGGTTGGCGCCAAGCAAGAGTACAGTGTACATTGCCAATCTGCCTTTCTCATTGACAAACAACGATCTCCACAAGGTACAGCTTCACTTTGTCGCTATCACGTGAAAATATCTCTTTTGATTCCAATTTCCATAATTCCCTTAAAACTTTAGTTACTGTGTGTAATATTTGTAGCGAACGAGCCGACACCTCAACAGTTTAATTTTTAATCGAACTTTCATGAACATGATTTAATACATGAATTATAATTATTCTACAGTACAACATTTTGACTGTGTTTGAAGAGATTTCTATTGCTAGTTTTACGCGTGTGAGGGTAACCTTCAACGCGCGCACGTACACGTACTAGACTATTGTTATTTTGTAGAAATAAGCGTGTCCTTATTTTGGACACTTCTTGTCTCCAGTGCAAGGCTAATTCTATTAATAGTAACACCTTGACTTTTTAACAAGTTTCGATATAACTGATTCCAACATACGCCCATAGCATGTCCAAGCGGAAGAAACGAAACCAGCAGCATTTCATACCGTATGTTCGAGGTTTTAAACCCCCAATTCTATCCCAGAAACGGTCTGCGTTAGGGCCTGTTGAAGAGAGTACCGTGTATTCCTTTACTGGTCACCAATCGATCCCAAAGTGTACATCTGAAAATGATTGGCTTGCACAGTACGATGAAGAGGGCCAGACTGTTGCGCAATTCAGACAGGAAAACCCCTGGTTTTCAAAAAGGAAATTGAAGTACATGAAACAGCCTTTTGTATCGAGTGGTACGACAATACTTGAAAAGTATCCCAGCGGGAAAATTTTCATCCTACCGATCGGAGATCTTGATTTAGATGTATCGAAACTTGCTAACTTTGCTGAGAGCTACCTAGGAATTCCTTTTGTAGTTCTGCCTGCGTTGGAGACTGGGGTTGACGGTAAGAAAGTATGGGTAAAACGTGGCGAACAAAAACGGTACGTCCAGGCCCGAATTGCGGAGAATGGAAGATTCCAGATAAACATAACGGCTGCATTGCAAGAAGTTCGGTATCATTTGGAGCTGAACAGCTCAAATAGCTTATGTGTTATCGCACTCACTAGGTACGAGTTATTCGAATCTAGGTCCGATTTGTTTGTCGCAGGTATGGCCAGTGGGAATCAGAGGATAGCTGTGTTCAGTATTTTAAGATATGATCCCAATCTTTCGTTCTCATCTGAATTTTGGCACGACGTACGAAAGGTATCCAAACCGATGTCGAAATCAAAAACTGGTTGTTTGATTTTTGAACGGAGTGTTAAATTACTAGTGCATGAAACGATGCATCTTCTTGGGCTAGACCACTGTATTTACTTCGAGTGTGTCATGAACGGGTCTGGACATTTGGAGGAAGATTTTCGACAGCCGATGTCTCTTTGTCCTATATGTCTACGAAAAATGAAGCTGCTCACAAACTGCGATATTATTGACCGATATAAGAAACTTGGTGAAATTTACACAGAGTCTAAAATGCAGAAGGAGGTCAAATGGGTAACAGAGAGGCTGGAATCATTCGAGTGATCACCGTAGAACTTTTTACAAAATTTCTTTTAATCATTTTAACGGCCTCTCGATGAATTAGAATTTAGATTTATTTTTCTTGTTTTGTGCGAGTTTTTATTTTTAGTTTATATCATAGTTACGTTCTTTAAGTTTTAACTGCGCAGCATTTATATTTCAGGATTTTAGAACAAAATTTGTAAATGTACGAGAATTGTAATATTTGATTTCATTGTACATGAGACTTTTGAGTTGAGAACATATTATAATGTAAATGTAACAAAGCATATTGTATTTTAAGTTGTACGTTATAAATAAGTTTAGTTTTAAGTATACTGTATTGTTATTGGTCAGCGATCATATGTATTTTTAAAACTGGTTATCTATCCAATAATCCAAGTAATTTGTTTTGATTTTTTTTTCTTAGTCCAATTTCGATCTATACAGCTTCTCAATTCTACGTAATTTTGTAACACTGATATAAATCCAAAAAACTTTATGGTTTTAATATTTACCCAAAATAATTACGCAACTCTTATTTCAGATACTGGAGAAGTTCGGAAGATGTATCAAGTAAATATTGTTATTTTATAACTTTTGCATGGATCATGTCACTTCAACTCACTATTGATGGTTATCATAATATTTCTACTTAAAAATTAACAACCCGAATTCGACAGTTAGGTCACGATATTAGATCAAAAGTCTTGACAAAAACTACCAAAAAATAAAGCCACTCTTGATAATTAACTATAGCCTACACCTCAGAGTTTCCATACCAAGAGATAAGGAACACAGAAGTAAAGGAATCGCTTTCGCTCTGTTTCTAGAACGAGAACCCTGTATTCGGGTCATCAATACTTTTCACGGGAAACAGGTAAGGGGCTATATTTACCTATATGTTGCCTCTGATTATCATTAAGAATTACAGTATAACTAAGGAAGTACGATTATATTTATAGGATATCATTTAATCTTTTGTTACTATTCCAGTTGTTCGGCCGGACCCTGAAGTGCTGCATGGCGAAAGACAACGGAAGAACGAGAGAATTCATCAGAAGGAAAGACTATCCCGACAAGTCAAGATGTTTCGAGTGTGGCGAGTACGGTCATCTCAGCTTTAAGTGCGTTAAAAACGTTCTAGGAGAAAGGAAGAGACCACGAAAGAAGAAGAGGAAGAGGGGTGAGAAAAAGGGAGAAGTAGACAATTATTTCAATCCTGATATCAGTTTAGCTGAGGCCATCGCAGAAGACGCAGAAATGGCGGAAGAAACAGAAAGACTAGAGGATGAAAACTCAACTGAATCGAAGAAGGAACCGGAGGAACCGCCAGGTCCGGCTGTTGCAATTTATGAAGATCAGGATGGGAACCGTTATCAAACCACGAACTCAGAACAATTCGTTTCTTATCAGACTTTACCTCAGAAACTCATTTCGAGGGTTTCGAACACTGTCAGTAAGAAACGGTATCAGCAGGATGCCTATTTCAGTGACGAGGAAATTCTTGAAGAAGACTGACTCGTATGTATCTTGTACTGAAGTTCATCTACCCGAGTGCTTAAGTATGGCGGTCGCGCGCTACTGCAAGCCGGAGATCAGAGGGCTCTGGTTAGAGCAATACTGAAGCTTGATAGCTTAAGCCTTAGATACCTAACAAAGCTCCATGGTCTGGTTATTTATGCACATTGACCTCATGACCTGCATTTCATAGTAGAGGGCTGACCTTTTTGGGACCTTACCATTAGTTCTTTAGAACAAAGAAAACCAGAGTCCAAAGGAGAAGACTGGGAAAATCGCCATTTTGGCCATGCCCATTTGTGTTATATTCATTATTCATTCTAGAGTAACCCGGCCCGTGCCTACGGCCGGGACTTCCCTATCGCAGTTGACATGCAAAAGTATAAACCCCTCTAATATATTCGAAAACATGCATCAGTCCAAACAGATCACAATTTAATTCCGAGTGCTCCTCATATATTTAATAATAATACTTGATAGGCAATCTTGAGGTCCCCTGCCAATTTAAATAGCAAATCTGTTATAAGGGGAGCCGGAGAGGGAGAGTAAGTGAAACACTTGGGTCACAAAATGATCGATTAAACCACCATAACATTAAACAATCGAATTCGACACAAGAAGTGTGAGTAGAACGAGAAGAAGTCCCAGAGTTCTTCTGGAAAATTCTTCCGGCAACGGGGTTTTGTTTACAAGAGGATGCAGGCGGTTCAAATGGACAAATAGTTTAACAGTTGCTGACAAGATATTTGAACAGTCCCTTCAAACGGGTCGAATAAAGTCCCGAAATACCAACAATAAGCTGAACTATAACACATTCGCAACAAAGGTTACCCCATTAACTTGTACTTTACCTCATTGTAAAATGATTGTTTTAACTAATTGAGTGCTTTACAACAGTAAACATTACCTCCGGTATTCTCGTAGGAACCAATCCTATGCGTGCACGTTACACAATACTCATCAAATAGTCTTAAACTCCACCCTTTGAGGAAACATGCCGGTATAACACCAGTGGTCGACCGGGTCCCCGGCCCCGTCCAAAATCACAACCCCCGGCACTAGAAAGTAAAAATACTGCACTGCAGCTAAAACTACGGCTCAACGTAAACTACAGAGCCTAACATATTTTATGGTAAATTTTTTGTGAACCGAGCCATATTTGGATGTGGGATTACTTTTAAAATCCCGAGGTCCAGAAAAAGTAGCAGCTGAGGGTTATCCTCAGTTCCGAGTTGAGGATTAGACTATTAGAAATTAAGTATGGATCTCAGGATTTAGGTTAATGAGGATTATCCTGAGTTGGTTCACAGCACGAAGTTGCGGTTTAATCCTCAAGTCGGTGAGGATAAGCCGCACCTTGAGTTTAATCCTTCCCCCCGATTGTAATTGCATCACACCAGCCTATTAATTATTATCAAATTCATGTTTCAATTTCTGACTTCAGTTTGGTAAACTACCCCCGGCCCCGGCAAAATGGAAGATTTCCCGGCCCCGGCCAATTCTCAGTGGTCAGCCCCGGCCCCGGCTATATTGGGGCTCCCCGGCCCCGGTCAGAATCCTGCCCCCGTTCGACCACTGTATAACACTCATCATCGGTTGAGTTCCAAAGGGGGGGGGGGGGGGGGGGGGAGGGTGTCATGTCCGCCTATGTCCTGTCCTTTTTGGATTCTATGAGACAACGGACGTGTTTTTTGGGACATTGGCGGACACGGACGGACATTGGCGGACTCGGACGGACATTGGCGGACTCGGACGGACATTGGCGGACTCGGACGGACATTGGCGGACCCGGATGGACATTGGTGGACATTAGCGGACATTGGTGGACATTAGCGGACAAACATTTTGAGGACTGAAGAGTACTGAAGAGTACTGAAGAGTACTGAGGAGGATGGCTGAGAAGGATGGCTGAGGAGGATGACTGAGGAGGATGACTGAGAAGGATGACTGAGAGGGAGGAGAAGGATCAGGAAGACCCAGGAGGAGGAGGACCCAGAAGGAGGACCTAGGAGGAGGAGGAGGAGAACTGAGGAGGATGACTGAGGAGGAGGAGGACTCAGAAGGAGGACTGAGGAGGACTGAGAAGGAGGAGGACTGAGGAGGATGGCTGAGGAGGATGGCTGAGGAGGATGGCTGAGGAGGATGACTGAGAGGGAGGAGGAGGAGGAAGAGGAGGAAGAGGACTGAGGAGGAGGAGGAGAAGGACTGAGGAGGAGAAGGAGGACCCAGGAGGAGGAGGACCCAGGAGGAGGAGGACCCAGGAGGAGGAGGACCCAGGAGGAGGACCCAGGAAAAGGCCCCAGGAGGAGGAGGAGGACTGGGGAGGAGGAGAACTGTTGAGGACTGATGAGGAGGACTGAGGACGAGGAGGAGGAGTAGGAGGAGGACTGAGGAGGGGAGGAGGAAGAGGACTGGGGAGGATCAGGAAGACCCAGGAGGAGGAGGACGACTGAGGACGACTGAGGAGGAGGACTGACGATGACTGAGAAGGAGGAGGACTGAGGAGGATGGCTGAGGAGGATGGCTGGGGAGGATGGCTGAGGAGGATGACTGAGGAGGATGACTGAGAGGGAGGAGGAGGAGGACTCAGGAGGAGGACTCAGAAGGAAGAGGAGGAGGACTCAGGAGGAGGACTCAGGAGGAGGACTTAGGAGAAATGAGAAGGAGGACTGAAGAGAACTGAGGAGGAGGAGGAGGAGGAGGACTGATGAGAAGGATGAGGAGGAGGACCCAGGAGGAGGAGGACTGAGGACCGAGGAGGAAGAGGAGGAGGATGAAGAGGAGGAGGAGGACCCAGGAGGAGGAAGACTGAGGAGGATGGCTGAGGAGGATGACTGAGAGGAAAGAGGAGGAGGAGGAGGACTCAGGAGGAGGAGGAGGACTCAGGAGGACTGAGAAGGAGGAGGAGGAGGAGGACTGAATAGGAGGAGGAGAGGAGGACTGAATAGGAGGAGGAGGAGGGGGACTGGGGGAGGACTGAGGAGGAGGATGGAGGACTGAGGAGAAGGATGAGGAGGAGGACTGAGGAGGACTGAGGATTGAGGAGGAAGAGGAGGAGGATGAAGAGGAGGAGGAGGACCCAGGAGGAGGAGGAGGACTGGGGAGGAGAAGGACTGTTGAGGACTGATGAGGAGGACTGAGGACGAGGAGGAGGAGTAGGAGGAGGACTGAGGAGGGGAGGAGGAAGAGGACTGAGGAAGATCAGGAAGACCCAGGGGGAGGAGGAGGAAGAGTAGGAGGAGGAAGCATCTAAATGTTATTTCCATTTTTGTCCGTTTTTGTCCATTTTTGTCCGTTTTTGTCCGCTCTATTTTTTGTCCGTTTTGAAAATATAGGGTACCGAACGGAAAAAAAAACATGATCCCCCTATAACAGCGAAAATTGAACATTTTATTTAGCAATTTAGGTGTCCATTAATGTCCGCCTATGTCCGTCTATGTCCGCCTATGTCCGTCTATGTCCGCCTATGTCCTGTCATTTTTGGATTCTATGAGACAAGCGGACATAGACGGACGTGACACCCCCCTCCAAAACTTCCAATATTCCACACTTGGCTGGACACCCTAGGCGGGACAAAAGAAAATCGCGACTATTTAGGCCAAAATGTGCGGCGAAAGATAATGTATTTGCAGAGCTAAGTTAGATGTTATAAATTCGTTAACTAGCTTGTTAGTAATAGTATAGTTAGATTAGATTTAGGGAGCGACAGGCTCGTCAGGCCTAACATCACCTTAATAATCCCAGAATGTGTGTTTTCTGTGTGTGTGTGTGTTGTGTGTGTGTGTGTGTGTGTGTGTGTTGTGTGTGTGTGTGTGTGTGTGTGTGTGTGTGTGTGTGTGTGTGTGTGTGTGTGTGTGTGTGTGTGTGTGTGTGTGTGTGTGTGTGTGTGTGTGTGTGTGTGTGTGTGTGTGTGTGTGTGTGTGTGTGTGTGTGTGTGTGTGTGTGTGTGTGTGTGTGTGTGTGTGTGTGTGTGTGTGTGTGTGTGTGTGTGTGTGTGTGTGTGTGTGTGTGTGTGTGTGTGTGTGTGTGTGTGTGTGTGTGTGTGTGTGTGTGTGTGTGTGTGTGTGTGTGTGTGTGTGTGTGTGTGTGTAATTTCCGAGCGGCTTAATCAAGGAAACGGTAAGAGTTACGGTATAGTGCCTACAAAACTATGAGGAGCCAAATGGTAAAGGTTTTTTAAACGGGTCAGTGGTAAGTGGTTTAATTGACGGTTTTGTACCACAAATGTTACATAAAATGGCTTGAGCAGAACGGCAAGAGTTACGGGGCTAGCTCTCTCTCTCTCTCTCTCTCTCTCTCTCTCTCTCTCTCTCTCTCTCTCTCTCTCTCTCTCTCTCTCTCTCTCTCTCTCTCTCTCTCTCTCTCTCTCTCTCTCTCTCTCTCTCTCTCTCTCTCTCTCTCTCTCTCTCTCTCTCTCTCTCTCTCTCTCTCTCTCTCTCTCTCTCTCTCTCTCTCTCTCTCTCTCTCTCTCTCTCTCTCTCTCTCTCTCTCTCTCTCTCTCTCTCTCTCTCTCTCTCTCTCTCTCTCTCTCTCTCTCTCTCTCTCTCTCTCTCTCTCTCTCTCTCTCTCTCTCTCTCTCTCTCTCTCTCTCTCTCTCTCTCTCTCTCTCTCTCTCTCTCTCTCTCTCTCTCTCTCTCTCTCTCTCTCTCTCTCTCTCTCTCTCTCTCTCTCTCTCTCTCTCTCTCTCTCTCTCTCTCTCTCTCTCTCTCTCTCTCTCTCTCTCTCTCTCTCTCTCTCTCTCTCTCTCTCTCTCTCTCTCTCTCTCTCTCTCTCTCTCTCTCTCTCTCTCTCTCTCTCTCTGCATAATATTATGTAGCGTATATATATTACATGGCGTATATATTACATGGTCATGCAATACTATAAACTTATTAGGGGAGGGAGAGCTCAAACATCAAAGTTATGTTTATATAGAAACATGGAGAGTAACTTACATATTGAGGCACTTTCCTAGTACCTATCGAGAATGACTCGGACCGAACATTTTCTAAATCGAAATTATTTTCTAAGTTTTTCCTGAAACTGTACTTTTGTTCATGTTTCATGCTACCCTGATCATTAGGAGCCGAAAATAATTTTTCGGTCCGTACCTACATTCGGAAGGCTGTGGATGTGATTAGTTCCATGTAATTATAAAGAATGTGATATTTTGCCCTCGGATTTAAAGTAGATTGCGCAAATTTGGTCCTCAGAGAACTGGAATTGTCGCGAGGATCTGAGAAAATCGCGATTTGTCTCGGCAAACGTCAAAAATCGCGATTTGTCGCGGAGAATGTGGAAAATCGCGATTCTGCACGTGCTGCGATTTTCTCTTGACCTTGCCTCCAGGACAACGGGTAGTCGAACAACCGCAACAATGTCTGGTAACGGGTGATGATAAAAAATTGAACTTGAAATAATGAATTAAAATATTGTCAAATTGTTATTATGTATTATTCTAGACTCTAGATGTGAGATGGTAAAAAATATGTGATATGATTATGAGTGCGGCCGATATTCCCAATTTTGGTCGAAATTTTCTTGGTTAAAGACCTTGTGGAGGCCCAAAAAATGTTCAGTCCTATAACTGTGAAATGCAGGTTAACATCTAATCTCGTTCATAGCTGACCATAGTCCATACTACTATCGATAAAACAGATACTGTATGCTTGCAGATAGTACGGGGTCCCAGGCCATGGACCCGCTGATATTTTAATATATTTTCATTGCAATCTATTTATTTATTTTCATTATCATTTATATTTTAATAGAGATGTATGCGGATTTCGCGTGCACCTGGAATCTATTAATCGAAGGCAGTTGCCACAAAATAAGGGCGTGCGTGTCTCACGGTGCGACCCAGAATCGCAATTCCACACGTTTGGAGCCCTCCCCTGTACAGGTCGACATTGATGGAGAGCTGAGGTCGCAAGAGTAAATATTGTGACTACAGCTGCATCCACTTATTTCAGAGCGATATAAATATATTTTGATTCAGGGTCGATTTTAGATGTTGGCACTGCCTTCTATTCGGAGAGAATCTAAGTTCTTATAACTGCTAGCAGCTACAGATTATGATCAATTGTTATCATTTGTTTGAAGGAATTTATTTCGTCTTTTTTGGTTCTCCCAATATTTTAATTTAACTTTGTATGATAATAAGATAAGAACATTGAATGAGTAATAAAAGATGAAATGTCGAGTATCATTACAAGACCCGAGCTCAATAAATAAAAATAAAGCTTATAAATCGTCTGAAGAGCTCAACAACGCTCACGAAGACTCGGAAAATTTTCTATCATCATCAAATATGTCAACATTAATAACATCGCGGAAACACGTTCAGAAAGAACATAATGAGGGATACTGATTTTAGTCTGCTTATTTATTAGCTATTTGTTCGCAAATGAAATAGACATGGCATTCTTCGGCGTGATCTTGAACTGGTTGAGAGCCTGTTTTGCTTGGGATGCTTGTTGGTCAACTTCGAACTCGACGAAGGCTATGTCGTGTCTGCCGGGGACTAATCTTGTTTCTTTGAACCCAGGGAACCTGTAATATTTGACAGTTAGGATGGATCTCGTTAAAACTGGTTGTAAGAAGTGGATATGACCATGTCACGTGAATTGTGAGACACTGTTATAACAGTATCAAAAGTCACGTGATTTCCCATGCATCTAAAAAAGTGGAGTGAAGATTAAGCTAGCTTAAAAGTTTGGTTTTATAATGCTCATTAGAGGTCATTGTCACACCAAAATGTGACCGCGCGTTACAAAATCGTTATTTTGAGCCGCGCATTTTTAACACAAAGGCGGCAAAACTGTAGGAATGAGTTTGGCCCGCCGGTTTAAGTTTGGCTTCATGGCTCATGCGACGATATGCGCATTACTCAAGATATTAGACTTACTGTTCGAAAAGCATCGTCAACATCATTTCTGTTGTTTCTGGAGGGAGGTTCTGCAAGAATAATATTTTGTGTGGAATTTCACTTCCAGTTTGAGGAGGAGTTGGTCTGGGTTTAGGTGGCATCGGGGGAGCGACGGTGTTAACAGCTGGGGGTTGCATTCCTGGGGGGATTATACCCTGCATCATCCCTTGCATAAGTCCCATCATGGGCATAGCTTTCTCCATCACTCTCTTCGCTTCTCCACCTGCTGAAGGAATGACAGGTTACATATGTTTAACAGCAGATAATATCTCAGCAAGTGGGGGAATATTTGTACCATTTAGGTGGAGTCATTAAATACCCAGATTTCAGGAAATTGTATATAATCGATATTTGATTATAAATATTTAGTTCTGAGATCAGCTTGCTTTGGTGTACCTTGCTCGGGAGCTTTCCTCTTTTCTTTCACAGCACCCTTCTTGTTGGCATCTTTAGCTACAAATGAACCGTCCAACTTAGCCACTGCGTCTGACTTCTTCTTGGCATAGTTTATCCTCTGGAAATGCTCTGCATTAAATAACGATCCAAAAAGGGAATTTTTTCATTGTCGAGATGTTTAAATTTCTCAGCATTTCATTACTCAAAAGGAAGTTTAATGGTCTCACCATAGGTTTCTCGTAGAAAGGGAATCCCTGCATTGATCTGAGAGCATTTGAAGCACTGTTGATATCCTTAAACACTACAAAAGCTTGTCCTCGTGCTCTCAAATTCTTGGCCGCAACAATTTCCAGAATTTCTCCGAATTGAGAGAAAATTGCGTACAGAGATTTCTTCAACTCTGAAATTCAACATATTTGGGTCTAGGAGAGACCTCATGTAATAACAAACGAAAATGATTTGAAAAAAGAGCACTGAAGGGTATCATTTTAAAATTTTGTACAATTTTTGAGGAACAAAAACACAGAAATTGGAGATTATAGGATCAGTATAGTAAACAAAAGTAACCTTCTAGTTTGACTTTCTCGTTAAGATTGTTAAGGTACAGTGTCTGGGAGGGGGGAACGGGGGGTGGTGGATTTTGCATCATTTTCTAGTTCCAGAGTTAAGGATATTATACATTACCGTTTATACTTCACCCAAATACATTACCAAATATGGAGCATCGAGCCGTAAAGCTTCTGTTCATCAAAATACTTAACCCGTTTTTTGTCAAATGATCGAAAACATCAATATAACAATTCACATTAGTAAAAATTGAAAGATTGGACAAGCTCAAAGCTCAAAGTTAATTTTTATTAAAAAATTGTTTATTAAATATCGCCTAAAACTCACATAAATTTCTAATATACTACCAGTTTTACCCGCGTAAGTAAGAGTGGTTTGAGTTGAGTAAGGAGAGCCACAATCAGCAGCTGGAGCAAAATCACTGGATCTTCTCGGGATACAAACTATAAAGTCCCATAACCGAGCCAAGAAAAGAGGTTTATTCATTTAGGAGAAAATATGAGTTCAGCTTGAGCTAAAAATTTCAACTACTCTAGATGTAAAATTTGTGGCAACAGGCACGACCATGTCCAGTATAGTTTGTATCACGACAAGACACTTGACTTACCAATGGTGAAAGGGGATGAAATACCAACTACAGGATCACCAAGTGCAAAACTTACCAGGCGCAGAAATGAACACGGGCAGAATTCATCAAAACTTTACAAGAGCAGAACTTACCAAACTTACACAATTTGCCAAGAACAGAACTTACCAAGAAGAGAGAGAGAGAGATTATCGATTGCATTGATTACCAAAATCTTCCTAGTCCAAACTTACAAAGTCCAAAACTTTATAAATCCATAACTTACCTACTCCAAAACTTATCTACTCCAGAACTTACCAAAAACGATTCAGGTGAAGAACTTGCGAAGAGTAGAAATTGCAAAATTCAAAACTTACCAAGAGCATAGCTTTTTAAGCAAAACTTACCAAGAGCACGGAGCACACCGAAGACAAGGCTGTTGGTATAAGGTACAATTAAATTGCCGACTTCCATAAATTCGCGAGCAAACTTACGGACTTACCAAACAATAGCGAGCAGTCATGTAAACTTTTCGTGAACTTACACCTCACTGATTAAGTCACACTCACCATAACCAAAGAATCGGGGTACGACCCCCGTCCCCGTACGACTGTAAATTGAACTTACGTACCAAAGAACGAGAGTTTTACCTTTCACTAGAAGAAGACTTACATTGTATCAATCGGTAGCCACGTCCGATACATAGTTCAAGCACGGCTTACCAGTGCAGTGCGGTGACTTACCTAGACTTACCAAAACTTACCGAGGTCAATATATTTAAACTGTCAAACTGATCAAGGAATGCACTGACCTTCCTTTTTGACTTTGTCATTGAGGTTGTTAATGTAAATTGAGGGCTGAGGAGGATACATGCCACGCCCCATTTTCAGGCTGTGTGTGGGACCCGAGCCGCTGACTATTTATCACGCTATATCGTAGTTCAGAGTTAAGGAGAACAGGCGATATGTTCCCCCAAAATACAGTTCTAATCCGTCACATAGCCAATTTAAACGTTAATAGCCTTATTCAAAGCGCACACGGGCTTAAAGTTGAAGATCTTGAAGTTGATAGTTTGGATAGCAATCAAATGATGGCGCTATTTAGAAGTTTAGAGGATTAGAACTGTATTTAAATCCATTAGTCAGAAGTGCAATGGGGACAGAATTGTGACTAATGGAATGTGAACAAAGTGAAGAATGGCACCAACGAGAGCACAAGTCTGAGCCAATCAACTGGTTAAGACCTTATTATGACTTATCAAATTAGTATTCTACAAAAACCACTCAAACTATTGGTAGTACATTATAATTGGATAGCTTAAGTTTAGAGTTAATATCATAAATGCATAAAAAGGATACTGTTTCAGAGGATTCTGGACTTTGGTCTTGAACAAGCCTTCACCTAATGAAAGAAATTAGTTTTAAGTCACTGCTAAATACATTATACGATATGATATTGAGTTCTATTGGGGGGGTACCAATGGCATAGAATGGAGACAAATGGCATAAAATTCATCAAATGGCATAGAAATTTCATGGCATAAATGGAAATTTTGTTTGGCCAATTCTCCATTATGCCATTTATGTCATTGGTACCCCCCCCCCCCCCCCCCCCCCCCCCCCGTTCCATTCTAAAGAAAGTGGAATTTTTTAGCCAAGCCCAAATTTAGTAATCACAATAATATATATTTAAAATTGCAAGATCTAGAAACAGTTAAATACGACAGGTACCGAACGATGCATACATTTATTTTGATAATTTTAAATACAAATCCAGTAAAAGAGTAAAAAGCGGAGCAAATCAGGAAAATCTAAGGTTTCAGCGACAAACTGCTTCTCGGCCATGGCAGTCAATTAATCAATATCCTTATCACTCTAAATTAAATCGTTTATCTTTACATTCTAACTTTAATGTATCTAGAAACAAAAAATTAAAAGTTCAACACATTCTAATCTTGCCCTTTTTTTTCTTCTTCAATCAGAAAAAACATGCATCGAAATTCGCGAAAAGAAACGTAAAGCCTTTCGAAAGCACAACTTAAAACAGCAAACAATTCTTAACTACACCATCAAAATTAACTTAAAATCGACTGTTGTATCGAACAAAAAGTGGTCATCTCAATGAACCATGTCCAGCTGTTCTTCAGCAATTATCTCACAAGAGAGCTTGGTGATAATATCGTTGATCCAGTAGTCGCTTGGTAAGGGGAATGTCTTCATTGTCAGTAGTAGTTCCCTGTTTTCCGTGTCGCCAAACAGAGCTCGCCACACCTGAAAATATTTGTAAGATGAAAACATTTATTTCACCTTTCACGACGTCCCTGTACCATACTATGTTGGTCCAAATTTTGGTCTGTCTGCTTTTAGAATGTTGTGCAATAACTTGGATTGACGTTATTAAACTGCCAAGAAGTATCACCCGACTTGAATGAAGTATATGACTTTGATCTTTATTCAGTAAAGCCTTAACTCTCAGATAAATTTCGGTTTACTTTGTACCTGACCACACCTCTGTACCGCTTACAATAAGAACAGCAGGTAAAGTAAAAACTTAGTTTCACATCAACTCAAATTAAATCACACTGTTCCAAGTCCAACAACTGCTCCATTCACTGAGCAGCTGCGATTCAAAAATAAGTTGAAGTTGCAAGTCAGTCAATGGGAACCACAAACATTTGCAACAGTTCAAAGAAACGAAGTGTTACCAATTAAGCCAGTCAGAGACAAAGAGTCTAACAAAAAACAAAACAAAACGAGCGCTAAATCAATCTGAACTGACCCACTATTGTCTGGACTTGACAATTTTTACACTTAACCGAGCCGTCAGATGCGGGCATCTCTTGTGTAAAAATTATATAAATAGGGTAAAACAACAACCATCCTCACTCTTATCAATCTCTCTTATCTTATCAATCTCGACATGAAGATTTTCATAACTCTCTGCTTGATGGCAACAGCCCTCTCCCTGGAGCACTCCCTCAGGGGAGTACTCCGTTCTCCAGGACAAACCCTCAAACTCTACGGGGATTTCAAAGCAAAGGAACATCTGATGTTCGGAGGCAGTGAAGACAGGTTGAGGTTCGTTCTCTTCCGTAATAATGCTGAATTCGTCGCTCAAGCAAACGAGGATGCTGACTCTGAAGCTGTCTTTGGACTTAACTTCCTCTCAGCCCTGACTGAAGATGAGAAGAAACAGTACCTTGGTCTGAACGTCACTGGACACTCTCCAAACTCTCTCTCCGTCTCATCCTCTGATGATCTTGATGTAGCAGACACCCAACTGTGGACCGATGGAGGTGTCACCTCAGTCAAGAACCAGGGCAGCTGTGGATCTTGCTGGACTTTTGGAGCCGTTGGAGGTCTGGAGACAAGATACAAGAATATCGCAGGAAAGCTGAGGAACTTCGCAGAGCAGGAGTATCTTGACTGTGTCTATGAGGGCAAACGAAACGGTTGCAACGGAGGATGGCCAGATGACTGTTACACCTACTCAAACAAACAGGGAGGAAGATTAGCTTCAACCGCCGACTACGAATACGGCCAAAAAGACGGCAAGTGCCTCGGAAAGAACAAGGCTGACGCTATGATTGCCGCTAAGATTACAGGTTCTGTCTCCGTCGGACGATCAGAGCAAGCTAACATCGCAGCCCTCGCCACTGGATCTCTTTCCGTCGCTTTCGAGGTAACAAACTACTTCCAGCAATACCGAAGCGGTATCATCAAGGACAAAACATGCACGGGCAGGCCAAACCACGCTGTCACAGCTGTTGGTTACACTCCACAGTTCGTCCTGGTAAAGAACTCATGGGGAACCGCGTGGGGAGAGAGTGGATTTGTTAAGTTCGCACGAAACCACGGAAACTGTGATCTCTTCAACTACAGCAGTTACCCCAAACTGAGCGCAACAGGCGTTGCTGACAACAAAGCATCGGACGAGGCTACTGACTACAAGCCTAACGGAGATGACGATGTTGACCCCGAACCAACAAGTGCCCCAGCATGTGAGGACAAGAAGAAGAAGTGCGGTACAAAGAAGTGCCACAGAGCTGCATACGCTGCCAAGTGTCAGAAGACATGTGGCGAGTGCGACTCAGGAGACAAGTGTCCAAGTGGAACCATGAGGTGTGATGATGGAGTCTGCAGACACGAGCACATGTGCTGATGTGCCATTAAATATTATTGATAATTGTGTAACTTTCGAGTTATTAAACTCATATTTCATCGAAAAGTCAAGTTTTATTTTGTGTCTTTTATATCCGAATGATGTCCAAAATAAATCACCTTAATATCGTAGATCGAAGTATGAACAACGTGAGTTAAAAACTTAAATCACTGACAATTGCTCACCTCAACAAGGAGAGTACAAGTTCGGAGACCCATCATATTAACAGCACATATCTCTGTAAGAGTAGTGTAAGGAAGGTTGTTGAGCAGATGTCCGGTGGTACTGATCTTGAGCCGCGCTAACTCTAGTTCTTCCTCTCCCTGAAGTAGGGTGGTTAGCTAACGAGTTCAGATTTTCTCAAGTTATCATATTATCGAGTTACACAGTTTAGGGAGGGTTGGGAAAAGCGCTGACTTAAAATTAAATAGTAGGTCGTGGTCGTAGTGGCAAACTGATTATTAAATTTACACAAATTCCAATCAAAATCCGATTGAATCCAATATCGATTCAGAGAAAGTCAATAAATACACGGGCCCATCCCTCGCTCCAACCTGAGGTAGAACAGAAGGAAGGTGAAGGTATGAGAAGTAAACAGCACCCTCCTTCCCCCAGTTCAGGATATTGTAACTGTGTTCCTGCAGGGCAGTTAACAGTGGTACCAGATCTCCTTCTTCTCGAGATACTATCTTCTGGGGTGCTGAGGAGAGAAGAGAGGCTATTGCGGTGAAAATGTTACGTGACAATATTTATCAAAACTGTCATGTATTATTTTCTAGGGGGTTCAAGACAAAGGGTAGCAGAACTTCGATCTGAAATGAAACTAGAACAGGAATGAGAAACTGTACCTATATTATCCATGAGTATCCTGTGAGCTGCATCAAACATCTCAGCTGCAGTGTACCAGGTGACGACCTTGCCCCAATCTCGCGCATAACGTGCATGAAGCGCACGTGCACAATGAAACACATTACTATCCACGTGGTAATCGTGCAAACATCTCCTCTCTTCTTCGCACAAAGTCGATACATCAGTCGTGTTGCGCGTGATTTTTCTCTGCACTAAATTGCGAATAGTCGCAGATCTGCCAGCAGGTAGGTGCTGCGCAACGAAGATGCTCCACTCCCAGATTCCGATACGGTCTAGCTGCGCAGCGTAGCTGGTTACTAGTTTGGAGGCGAGGTGGGGTGTTGCGCGGGGGAGTCCCAAGGAAGTGAGGGTGCTCCAGATAAACCATACATCTCGCTCATCCAACATATTTCCAGTAATACCTAATCAGGGGGAGATTAGTTTTAGTTGGGCTAGAATGTTTCAATACAATGGGAACTTTGAGTGTGAAAGTTGCAAAAGAGGGCTTTATGCCCAACATGATTGACGAAAAATGCAATAAACGAGAACGAATCAATGTGGAGTAAAACAATACCCTGGTTGTTGAGAACATCAGCTAGAGGGTAAGCAGGATTGCAGTATAACATCAGCAGTTGCCAGAATATACTCATGTTAGCTTCGTCATCTACTACTGGTGGTGTTGCCTGGCCTGGTAAAGACACGGTTTAAAGGACCAGTTAACTGAAAAATTTGTAGTCTCCAATTTGGCTAAGATTTAAATCAGCTGTGACAAACTGGTAAAGAATCGTATCGCCGAAAGAACTAACTCTCTAGCGTACGTGTAACGCGTGTTATTGCAATAATAAGCTGTGGCCGCGTGACGTCATAAAGTCCCTCAGTGCGCGCTTGCATAGCGTAATACAATGCACAAATGTTTATCATCGTCAATAAAACACGTGTAACTCACTCAAATTTTAGAGTTATGACTATTTCCCTAGTTCTACAAAATCCTTATAGTTTTGGCTATCACCCTAACTATATGAATAGCTGATTGGATGTACAGTGCTCACGTCAGGATTTTAAACAGTGACATAGTCATAAGTTCTTGAACAGTGGCGGGTGAATGTACGGTTAGAAAGTTTCTGCTATTACAAGTTATGTCATATGTGATAATTTTGGATTGTTTTCATTGCTTCATTACAAACGAAGGGAGACTGTACCGATTATTTTTCCCCAGTACATGAAACTAATACACAAAATAATGTGCTATATATTAAATATAGCTGATCAGAGTGTAACTCTGTAATATAATATTACAGTTGTTCGGAAGAATGCGAGCAGTCGAATGGTTCGCTGTAAAAGACATAGTTCCGAGAGCAATTATATTTTTAGCATAGCGAAATCTCTTACTTTAATCCACACGTGCCAGACAGTACAGGAGACAAGAAGTCTGGCTATTTTACGGCCGTTCCCATGGGACCATTAGTAGAAGTAGCTCCTATCAGAACGGTGCCGTGGGAACCGAAAAATACCCGGTCTACTAAATACTGATTGGAGTGTACAGTGTGCGGAGTGTTTTGAATTTGACTTACCTAGTTATCGTCCTACTTGTATGATCATAAAATTAAATACCAATTAGTGCAAACGTGTTCAGTCAATCGACCCACTCAACAACTATAGAATTTCCAAGACCCTATTATTCGTTGGCCATATATATTACGGCACGATCGATTCTTAGATGGCTAAACGACAAACGTTAATCTATACAATTCTTAAACTATGAGATAGCACTTTAATCTAAAAATACACTTTTTATATTACTCCTGATTTTTACATTACAATTTTCACGTAAAACATTGTAGCCATAGGTTGATCATGGACACTGACAGCTTAATTTTAGATAATAATGATTTATGAGTTTCTCTAAAGTTAACTCTAAACTTGTGTAGTCCAGTCATTTATGGACATTTATGGAATTGAACCTGCAAATTTTCGTATACTCACGAAATTTTGCAAAGACCTTCCCAAAAGTATGAATAAAGGATTTTCGGTCGGAGACATATTGACCACGCCGATATTGACCCAATAACGTAACCGACCCTTTGCTTCTGAAGGTCGTGGAGACTTCAAAATAGGCTTAAACGAAGCCGCATATGCAAGTTTATATAGGAGTTATTGAGCAACACATGGCCTAAAATCCTTACTTTTCGAGAAATTCGCCAAAAACCATTTTGGGCGTGGTGCTGAGCCCATTTTCGATAGGATCGTGATAGAGTCTTTAGACAGGGTGCAAAAGAACCGCAATTAGCATATTAATATATGACTTACGAAGAAACAGATGCCTTAAAGTGCTTACTTTTTCAGTTATTGGCGAAAAACTGATTTCCGGTTCCAGAAATCATGCAAAAATATGGGTATCTCGTAAATTGGGCTATGAAGGCCAAACAGATTTTTGAATGATTGCAAATTGTGCAGAATGGCCATGTTTATATACAACTTATGAAGCAACATGTACCCTAAAACACTTACTTTTCGAGTTATTTGGGGGAGAAACATTGTATTATGTCCATTTTTACCTGTAAAATACAGTCTCACGAGCTGCTCTGTGCGCGCAAGGGACTTTATGACGTCATCGCCAAAATAATACAAACGCTAATTACACGCGTTAGAGAGCAGTTAGAGATTTAGGAATTTCGACTCGTTGCTCAGTTTGCTATTTGTCACAATCTGTCAAAATATGAGGATAACTTTTTTTTCAGTTAACTGGTCCTTTAAAATCTCTGATGTTTGATATTTAACTATTCAAAAGCTGGAGATCCGATAGTTAAGGCAAAAGGAGATTCGATACAAAAGGAGATTCGAAACTTAACAAATAAAAGTAAATTAAAACCAATATTTAATATGTTGACTTTATTTACCAGATTCGAAAGCTTGTTGGAACATGACAACAGCCTGATCAAGAGGAGCAGAAGGAGGAAGGAACCTCAGGTACAGAGCAAAGGATGAGAGCCAGTCCAAACCTTCACATACGTTGATAGTGCGAGTTGAACTCTCCCATACCTGATAAATATTGACATTAATACGTGTAGTGGGCAATTCCACGGTAAGGTTCCACTTGGTGAAAATGAAAAATTTTAAGATAGGCACCTAATTTTGGTTAAAATATGTTCATTAGACTCTTAACCTTACAGGTCAACAAAAGTTTTTTGTTTCATATTGCATTAACTTTTTATTTTTCTCATTCAAAGGAACACTACTCGGAAATGAAAAAAATCATTCAAATTTTCAAAGGGCCATAGTTTGGGTATGCAGCAATATTTCTCTATGAAATTCCATACACTTAAGCATAAGCATAAGAATGAGAGCTATGCAAAGTTTCAAAACCGTTACTCTAATACTTTTTCTAAAAAATTTCCACTAAGATGGTGTCGCGTCCGTCACAAAATTAAGCAAAAAAGTTTTTTCAGAGCCATATAGTGCTATTTATATTCAAAAAACCAATGTAACCTTTATCTCTTCTGAAGGTAAGGGAGTACCGTAGAAATTATCAGGCTTGTATCTTTTAAGAAAAAAATTTTGGAAGGGGGGTCCCAACTTGTCGCGTCCGTCACATTTTTTTGAAAATGCTCCAAAAAATCTTTTAACAGACTTTAAATGCATTTTTGTTAAAGCTGAGACCGTCCTTAACAAAACGATGTTGTCAAATCGAAAATTGGACAGAAAATGACTGAGTTATGTATAATTTTGTATATGCCCATATATGGGCGTACGGCTCACTTTTAGCCATTTTAATCCATATCTCCATTATTTTGACTAAAACCAAGACAAATTGAAGTCAAATAAGGTTTGACTATGTTGACTAGACTATCAAATAACATCATATGCAATTCAATAATTAAATTTACTGAGTTTTGCCATTTTATTTACCTTAACCTTTTTCAGGGGTAAAAGGCACAAAAAATGGACTTTACCCTATTTTCGCATATTTTTGAAGTAAAAATTCGATATCTTCCACATTTTAAACACTAAAGTAATGAAACTTTTGGGAGATGGTCTCAACAGTGTGATGTGTTGAACAGAGATGAATGTTTTACCAGAGTTATAAATTTGTTCAAGTAGAGAAATAGTTGCTGCCCCTAGATTGATACCCTAGCGTATGCCCAAAATGGACGATTTTGGCTATTGCAGACCTCGTGGAAGTACTTGCGGCCTAAAAATTGGCATAAATATAGAATGAAGGTCACTGAACAAGATAAAAGTGTCAAATAGAAGATTTGGAGAAATTGAAAAAAAAACGTGTGTCCGTCACAGTCACGTCCGTCACAATTTGAAAATGGCGCCACGCAAACAAAAACTGAGCAATCTCCAAAAAAATGGTATCTCAGAAATCCCTAAACCTTTTTCTATCACTGCATGTCCAAATTAGAGATAATAGATAACGTTTTGGGATAGATTTGGGTACCTTCTGAGTAGACACCCAAAAAAAGTGTCATATTTAAGTCGCGTCCGTCACAGGGGTACTATCTCAGAAAGTAATAATGGTAGGGGTCTGAAATTTTCACACAACCTATACAAAGGTTAAATGTGGACTAATAAATAGTTTAAGCTGATAAAGAAGCAACATCCTGAGCAAAACATTCGTTTGAACTTTTAAAAATGGCATAATCGTGGTGTCCGTCACGGTGGAATTGCCCTAGTGTAACATTAAATGGAAATTGTCAAAAACTAACACAACTAACATTGATTAAATAAACACGAAACATTTATCATTTTCAGTTAATATCATATAAAAATCACTGACCTGTTCCCCTGCCAACATAACATAAACTCTGAGTCTATCCTCAGAAATAAGAGCATCATACCCAGACTCTCTCCACTCATGTAGTTGTTTCAGAACCAGCTGTCTGACAATTGGAGTAGAGGACTGAGACACCAGCAGAGCGAGCTGGAAATCCCCGGCTTTACACAACAACTGACACGCCTCCTGGATACCTCCAGCACACAACCAGCCGATAACAGCAGGGAGGTGACACACACCTAGCTTGGAGTGTTCGATTGTCAGCTTTTGAGCCAGGACCTTCAGCTGGGCCCCCAACCAGTTTGATAAGCGAGATTTGCGGAATTGTTCCGCAGCGTAGTCTCCATCTTTCATCTGCTCATCCGCCCACAGAGCCTTGATTAGCTGCAGCGCAGGACCCAGCACAGTCAGATCCTCTCTTTCAGCAAGCTTCACCAGGAGTTCCTCTAAACAATCTGAACCTTTGTTAGGCACAGCAATAACAGCTCCATCCTGCTCATCAAACGTGGTGTGTTCCAGCATCACCTCCAACAGATCACTGTGGTACTCCGGAGTAGAACCGCAGGAAATCTCCGTCACATCTAGTCCGGATCCTCCGGTTGTGGACACGGTCCGGGAGGAGTCAAACAGGTTCCGTCCCACTGAGCCCTTACCTGACACGTGGTCTGACTTTACTAGGAGCCTGTTTGTGGAGGTCCAGTTTGCGCGGTAAGCGAAGTGTCGGGTGAGTCCCTCGTCCATCTTGAGATGAGTGCGTTCGCTTGCGATTGATTTGGAAAGTGGTGGCAGACACAAAACTGAGGGTACTACTGAGACTCCAAATTTAGGAGAAGCCTCTTCAGCAGGCTTTGTGAGCATCTTTTCTTTGAGAAGACTTGCTTTGAGGATTTTGGGACTTGCAGCCATGTTCTCACTCATGTCCAGTTTCTCCATCTTTAGAGCGGTTTTAGCAAGAGATCCCTTTTTAGAGAGGCTGATACTGGAAGAGTAGTTAAAATGAGATCCCTGCACGAACATCTCACCATCATCCTCTTCTTCCTGGTTATCTTCATCCTCTTCCTCGCTCTCGTTAAACCCAAACAGCCCTGCTTTGTAACCCTCGTACTCTTTTGGAACGGGGCGAGGAACGAAGGAAACTTCGTGAGGGGTGTCGTATCCTTCACCTTCCGACATATTGTCGTCATCACTAAACAAGTTCACATCTTCCTTCCCTTCATCGTCGAAGGAATTTTCTGCAGAAAGTGGTTCTTCTTTTAGCTTTTTGGCAGCTTCTTTTCTTTCTTCATCTTCTTCTTCCTCACTGTCTTCGAGTAAACCATACTGACTGAAGTGCTTCACCATAAAGGTCCACTGTCCAGTCTCGGGCTTGTATTCCACGAACTTAGCCCCCATTTTGAATGTCTTCTTCTCGAGATAGTTTGGGAATCCTCTCTTGATTATTTCTTTGGGATCTGTTATGTTGTCACGTGTTCCCTTATCTATCGGATAAACACACTCCAATGTAACCTCTGAAATATGAACGATTGTAGATCGGTAGATCACGCGATTAACTTTCAAAACTGAACTAAGACCAAAACTCTGAATCGTAATTGCTGCATGTCAGTATTATACAGCACCAAAATGTCTTGCATCATGACAGTTGTTTAAGTAGCTAACCTGATCGTCTGTTGAGAGCCTGGCCTTGAGGGGGCTTGTTCTTGTCGTCAGGGTAGACTGATATCTCCTTCCTTCTAAAGAATATCGTGTTGTCCAGGTCCATTCCCCAAACATCCACTTCTCCCAGGAACTTCACTTCTCCGTATCTATCACGTGATTAGTTAGTTAGTTAAATGGTTTTCGTTTTCTTAATAAATAAAAGAGAAGTTTGCCTTCAAAATCCGGGTACGTAACATTTTTTCCCTATTATTTTCTGGTATCCTCCTCATATCACTTACCCTGTCCTACCCACAATGAGATCATTAACAACCAAACTCTCGTCTTTAATCAAGTCCACAAGATCGTCAGTTCCAGGAACTGTGTAGTACTCGGGACGGTTTAGAGTGAAGGGCAATGTGGGGGGAGGTGGTTTTAGAGGCTTCCCATCTAGTCCTAATATCGGCTCCTCTATTTCGATTGCTGTATCATCCTCCTGGAAAATGTACCAATTAAAGCAATGTTTTTACCGAATTATATGTTTGTTATCGAGAATATTCCTAACAAAGCTCATTGCATAAGGACAATAATATTGGCTGGAGCTGAGAATAGGTGAAAAATTAAACACCTTAGTAGCATTGGCATCACGCCACGGTCTGGCCTCTCATAAAGAATGTGTAAAATTTCACGGGGGCTATCGATTGTGACGAGGACACGACGTTGGGAATAAACAATGGTTAAACAGTAAATACAATAGCGGACGAGTGATATTTGTGCCAATGAAGCATTGAGTTGGAACCATTGCAGCTGGTCGGGGGGGCCAATGACTACCAATGGAGACTTTTGGGGACTAATGGGGACTAAAAATCATGGGGACTAGAGGTCAACTCGTTGACGTAATTCACCATTTGTCCCCATAAGTCCCCAGAATTTTTGACAGTTATTTATGGTTTCCAAGTTAGTTTAATAACGATACGATCGAGATGTTTTGTCCAAGATAAGAGTAGGATAAATCTGACTTAAAAGTAAAATGATAAGCCCGGTTGTAATGTGTTCTACCACTGTACAAGTCAGTTCAGATTGAGGTAAATTGAAGTTTAGCTCTCGTGAAGGTAGAAGTAGCCGACTCGCTGAACTCTTAAATCTTTTGGGGGGGGGGGGGGGGGGGGGGGTCCAACTACAAAAAATACGAATACGAATTTCAAATTTTAGGGGTGCGTTCGTATTTTTTCGTATTTTTTACCAACATTTTTTTACTCTAGAAATAACGAAATATCCCAGATTAATGGATCTATAAATCCATTGGTATTCTCCGTTGTATCTTTGTATATTACACTGTATGACATCAGAGAAGATAAATATGACGCAGCAAAACTGGTGAACAAATGAAAATACAATACTACGATTACCTACTAATTAATAATTGGAGTTTAGCTGCTTGTCAATCTCAAGTAAGCGTATTTATGTCAAAACACTGGGATATTATCACAATTCAGATATTATGATGTATTAATTGTGATTTATAAAGGTCTTTGAATGCTACATCACAGAATATTATTACCAAATACGCATTACGCATACTTTTAAAGTCTGGTAAGTTGGGTTCCTAAAACGAAATGAATCAGCTTCGGCTGAACCCATTATATATAATATTATAGGACTATATATGGCACATTCATATTTCATATTGATATTCTATCAGATTTTTCTTTAGAGAAAACTATTACACAAAGTAGTCATGGTTATAGTAACAAGCTTAAATCCTTAGTGATTAAAATTAGAGAAAACTTCAAATTCCTTAGTGATCTTCAAAACTTCTTTTGATAGTAAATCTTACAATCTACATCAGACTTCACCCAAACATGATAATTCTGATGGGTAAACAAAAGGAGTTAGCAGTTAGTGAGGTATAACGGCAGACAGCCTTGCTGAATATATGCGATTTGACATGAACAGAGCCTGCCCGCGGAACTTGACAGCTTGCTTGAATATTTTCTTGTCGAACCAGCCCTTGTCACCAACAGATACACGTTTACAGTCTTTTCCAAGCGATTCACATGGCCGAGAAAGTGACACCCTGGCGATACTGTAGCCTTGATTCTCCTTTGGTGTGTATGACCTGCCATTGATGACCGACCGTCGTTCATAAACTTCCTCAGCAACAGTATCAACATGGTACCAACGCCGGTCGGTGTGGAGAACTCTGCATTGACTGTTATAAATCTCCATTTCACATCATCATCATTGGGGGCCTCAAGCTCAGCCACTTCCCTGTCTTCATCATCAACTAGAGTGTAACATCATCAACTAGAGTGTAACAGTCGGGTTCAGTAGTATATCGAGTTCGCACCCGGACAGCTTTGTTGTGAGCACGAATCATATCCTTCCTTATGTCGATGCCTTCCCTGAGGCTTTCCTAAGTTTCTTGAGGCTGGGTGTCTCTGCCCTTGTACACCCGTGTTTGGTTGGGATTGGGGGAATCAGTGTCTTCCCCCGAGGGGGTGTGCAACATCATTCGCAACAGAGATGCTGCCTTTCGCATCAAGCTCAAGGCACCGATTTTTCCTTGCTCTGGCATCCTTTGTGGAAGCCAGTGCGAAGGAAAGCAAACAATTGTTCGCAAGAGTCGAAACAAAATGCCAGCAAGCAATATCACAGTCCCTTGTACTTAGTTGCACATTGGACTTGATAAGAAAACCATCCTTCAAGGCCAGTTATAAGGTCCTGGAACGTTGGAGCCGTGATAAAGGTGTTTACCTTAAGCCTTCCGCTTTTCGCAAACATGATCCCCCTGAAGTGGAGGAGGAGGACTGGAGAGGCGGAAAAAGAAGAGGAGGAGGACTGAGGAAGACTGAGGAGAAAGGGGAGGAGGAGGAGGAAGAGGAGAAGGAGGTGAAAAAGGAGGTAGGAAGGACTGAGAAGGAAGACGAGGACGAGAGGACGACTATGAGGAGGATTTGAGGGACGAGGACTGAGGAGGAGAGGAGAACTGGGGGGATGACTGAGGAGGGAAGGACTGAAGAGGGACTGAGAGGAGGAGAGGAGGAGTAAAAAGATGAGGACAAAGACGAGGAGGACTAGGACGAGAGCGAGGGGACGAGGAGGAGGACGACTGATAAAAAGGAGAAGGGGGAGGGGAGGAGGGACTGGGTAAGGACTGATGAGGAGGAGGTCTAAAGACGAAGAGGACTGAGAAGAAGGACAAGGACAAGGAGGGACGACTATGAGGAGGACTGAGGACGAGGACTGAGGAGTGGGAGGAGAACTGGGGGGATGACTGAGGAGAAGGACTGAAGAGGACTGGAGGAGGGGAGGAGAGTAAAAAGATGAGGACTAAGGACGAGAGGACTGAGGGACGAGAGCGAGGACGAGGAGGAGGACGACAGATAAAAAGGGAGAAGGGGGAGGAGGAGGAGGACTGGGTAAGGACTGATGAGGAGGAGGTCTAAAGACGAAGAGGACTGAGAAGGAAGACAAGGACAAGGAGGACGACTATGAGGAGGACTGAGGGACGAGGACTGAGGGAGTGGGAGGAGAACTGGGGGGATGACTGAGGAAGGACTGAGGAGGACTGAGGAGGGGGAGGAGGAGTAAAAGGATGATGACTAAGGACGAGGAAGACTGATGACTGAAGACGAGAGCGAGGACGAGGAGGAGGACGACTGATAAGAGGAGAAGGAGGAGGAGGAGGAGGAGGGCTGGGGAAGGACTGATGAGGAGGAGGTCTAAAGACGAGGAGAAGTGAGGAAGAGGAGGACTGAGAAGGAAGACGTGGACGGGAGGACGATTATGAGGAGGACTGAGGACGAGGACTGAGGAGGGGGAGGAGAACTGGGGGGATGACTGAGGAGAAGAAGGACTGAGACGGACTGAGGAAGAGGAGGAGGAGTAAAAGGATGAGGACTAAGGACGAGGAGGACTGAAGACGAGAGCGAGGACTAGGAGGAGGCCGACTGATAAGGAGAAGGATGAGGAGGACTGGGGAAGGACTGATGAGGAGGAGGTCCGAGGGAGGACTGAGGAGGAGGAGGACTGAGGAGGAGGAGGATGACTGAGGAGTAGGAGGAGGACTGAGGAGGAGAAGGAGGAGGGGGAGGAGACTGAGGAGGAGGACTGGGGGAGGACTGAGGAGGAGGAGGAGGACTGAGGAAGGAGGAGGAGGACTGAGAAGGAAGACGAGGACTGAGAAGGAGGACGAGGACGAGGAGGACGACTATGAGGAGGACTGAGGACGAGGACTGGGGAGGGGGAGGAGAACTGGGGGCATGACTGAGGAGGAGAAGTACTGAGGACGACTGACGAGGAGGAGGAGGAGTAAAAGGATGAGGAAAAAGGACGAGGAGGACTGAGGACTGAGGACGAAAGCGAGGACGAGGAGGAGGCCGACTGATAAGAAGGAGAAGGAGGAGGGACTGGCGAAGGACTGATAAGGAGAAGGTCTGGGGGAGGACTGAGGAGGAGGATGACTGAGGAGTAGGAGGAGGAGGAGGAGGACTGAGGAGGAGGAGGACTGAGGAGGAGAAGGAAGAGGGGGGAGGAGACTGAGGAGGAGAAGGTCTGGGGGAGGACTGAGGAGAAGGAGGATGACTGAGGAAGGAGGAGGAGGACTGAGGAGGAGGAGGACTGGGGGAGGACTGATGAGAGGAGGACTGGGGGGGAGGACTGATGAGGAGGAAGAGGAATGTGGAGGAGGACTCAGGAGGACTCAATAGGAGGACTGAGGAGGAGGAGGACTAAGGAGAACGAGGACGACTATGAAGGGGACTGAGGAGGAGGACTGATGAAGAGGAGAAGGAAGAGGAGAAGAGGAAGGATGAGGACTGGGGAAGAGGAGGATGAGGAGGAGGACTCAGGAGGAGGAGGAGGACTCAGGAGAAGGACTCAGGAGAAAGAAGACTCAGGAGGAGGAGGAGGAGGAGGAGGAGGAGGAGGAGGACTGGCGAAGGACTGATGAGAAGGAGGTCTAAAGACGAGGAGGACGGAGGACGAGGAGGACTGAGAAGGAAGACGCGGACGAGGAGGACGACTATGAGGAGGACTGAGGACGAGGACTGAGGAGGGGGAGGAAAAACACATAAAACATACTAATGGAATGTCCTATTGGTTCGTTTTCTCATCACAATATATACTATTATATAGCATACGTATTATGTAGGGGTTCTGATTGAATTATATCACTTCTGAGAGGTTTTAGAGATCGATTCTGTAAATTTCTCAATTTTCCGATTTTTCCGATTTCGATTTTGGCCTCATCAACCCTCATAAACATAAAAAGGATCACAATATATCCCAAATTTTAATTTTAAAAACGATAAAAAGGGAGCGACTTTCAAAATTTTGTGTGGGTTCATCGTTTTTGTTGTTGCACCCCCAGGTTTTATGTATGATACATGATGGTTTACATATTATTTTAATGTTTCTTCACTGCTAAGTTGAGCTTAGATCTGATTAATTACGAAGATGTGTGATCTTCTATTTAGGGCACTTTCAAAAACA